GCCTTCGGGACGATAGGTTTTGAACCGGCGTGGGGAAGAACAGTAAGAGCAATGCCGTGGCAGGAAGGACCGCCTCTGCTAAGGCTGTTCCCAGTCCAAGGGTCTCAGAGTCTAGACTTGTCCTGGAGTGCTGCAGTCTGGAGGGGGAGAGGGGAAAGGGGCTGTATGCAAAGGCCAAGAACAGGGGTCTTGGAGTGTGCTGATCAAGGAGTATGGTCTGCTGTTAGGTCTTTCATTTGTTTATACATCCCACCATGCTGGGAGCGCTTACTGAGTGCCCAGCGCTATGCCTGGCACTCTGCCCTCAGAGGTAAGAGATGAGGTTGTGCCGTCGAGATACTCAGGGACCGGTGGGGACGATCAACCCAGGCCTAGCTCCTTCCCTCGGAGGCAGGGCACAGTCACCATCAGGGGAGGAGAGGAGCAGAGCTCCAGTCACTGGGCTCCCCAGACACAGGCCAGGCCCCAGGCAACTCCACCCTGCTGGCTGGGCAGCCTAGCCCTGGGACAGCCTTGTGCTGAGGCCGTGGAGCGGGACGTTCCATTTGGCTGAGAGGGGCGTGGGGCACCAGGTCCTGCGCCAGACAGTTTCCCCTGGCTGCCACCACCGGGCATGCAGGGGGCTGGGGAGTGAGGCTGAGAGGCAGCCTGCACGAACGTGGGAAGGACTGGCCAGGCCCTCAGTGCTCTGCCCTGGAGCCCTGGCACCTCAGGGCCTCCACCTGCTGGCAGGTTCTCAGCCCCACCTCCACCCACCTGGCACTTCTCCTGTGGCCTGGCTACAGACTCCCGTTTAATGAGGCTTTTCCCCAGTTCCCAGGGGAGGCTGGGGGACAGGATGAGCCCTCTGTCCATCTGCTCCTGTCACACACATACATAACCAGGCCAGAGGCTATAGGCTGAGCTGGATTCTGAGGTTTCCTAGACCTAGAATGAGCTGTGTTACAACATGGAGCTTAAACAACCTGGCCAAGGAGGGTCAGCTCTAGCTGTCCCTCAGGTGACAGGGCTTCCTGGCCCAAACGAGCCTTCCCCAGGGAAGGTGGTGTGCCGCGAAACCTGCTGTGGGGCCACCCTCTCCCTGCCCTGGGCAGAGTGGGACTCCGGGACTGTCTTCCTAGAGCTGGCACCTTGGACCCCAGGCTCTGCTCCTAAGATTTCCCAGGGTCAGAGCTGCCTATTCCACCAGCCAGGCTTATAACTCTGAGCGCTGAAAAGCCAGAGCCAAGGCTGAATGGCAGGGCCTTCTCTGAAGCAGAAGTTTAGACTTGAAAGCTCTGTGGTCTGCAGCGCCCTGTGGAGGGTGTTCATTCCACCCATTGCACCAGGGCTCCAGGCGTTTGTGCCCTTAGATGGCAAATAGTGGAATGCCTTCCACCAGGGTCCCAGGTTCCTGAGGGAGTGGGCCCTGAGGCTCATCTCCGTGTGTGCCACAAGGCCTGGGATCTGGCTAATCCCTGTCCTAGGAACTTATCAGGGTAAAAAGGCCCCCGAGGTTTCCAGAAAGCTTTCCACCTTCATAGGCCCTTGGCTCCTGCTCCCAAAAATTCTAGGATAAAGCAGGGTTTTTTGCATCCATGACCAATGAGGTAGGCAGGGTTGATATGATCATGCTCATTTTACAAGGGGCATACTGGCCCAGGGTCCTATAGAGGAAAGGTCAATGAAAAAGGTCAGCAAGCCTAGAGCTGTACTTCCCAACCCACTTCCCATCCTGGCACAGTTAAAAATGACCACTGGAGTAACTGGAGGAAGAGGCTGGAGGCTGAAACAACCATGAGAAGTGCTGGGCATAGTGAGCAAGGAGAGAGGATGGTAATGGGGTTAGAGAGGTAGTTGGGGGCCTGATCCTGGAGCTCCATAGGCCTGGGCTGAGGAGCGACGTGATCTGATTTCTATGGCTGCTGGATGGAGGACTGAGGAAGCAGGAGGCTGCTGCAGTCGCCAGGTGAGACGTGACTGTGGCTTGGACTGGGTGGGGAAAGGGAGAAAGAAAGAAGTGGTTCGATTCTGTTATATTTTGAAAGTAGAGCCATTAGGATTTGCTGACAAATTGGAGGTGGAGTGTGAGAAAAAGAAGCGTCAAAGGTGACTCCAAGCTGTTTGGTCTCAGCCACTGGAAGGGAGGGAGTTACCATTAACTGAGGAAGATGGAGAGGAATGTTTGGGGCAGGGAGTCAAAGGTTCTACTTTGGACATGTTGAATTTGGGGAGCATTTGGAGAGTGGAGTTCCTAGGAGAAGTGGGGGCTGGAGATGTGGAGTCATCAGATGAAGACGTTTAAAGCCGTAAGCCTGGATGAGAGCAGCCTGGGAGGGGAGGATTGATAGAGAACTGAGGGCCAAGCTTGGGTCAGGTCAGGAAGAAGATAAAGAGCCAGAAACAAGGCTGAGAAGGAGTGGTCTCTGAGGTTAGAGGAAAATCAGGCAAGTGTGGCATTCTGGAATCGAAGTGAAGAAACTACCACAAGGAGGAGGGAGAAATCAGTCGTGTTCAGTGTGCTGAGAAGTCAGGTAAAATGCAGACTGAGAATTGACCGCTGAGTTCAGCAACACGGAAGTCCCTAGGGGCCTTGACGAGTCACCTAGGGAAGTGATGGGGCAAGAGACTGGCCTGGATGAAGGGATAATGAGAGCTGAAGACTAGAGGCAGCAAATGGGGACAGCTCTGCTGAGGTCTGCAATAAAGGGGAGCAAGACATGAGGTGGCAGCTGGAGGACTTACAGATGCGAGAAATAGCAACCTGCTGGTACCCTGGTGGGAATAAGACTGGGCTTGCAAAGTGCTGGGCACAGTGCCTGGCATGTGGCAAGTACTCAGTACATGAAGGGGTCATATTCCCCCACACCCCATACCCCACACCTACTGTCCCAGTCTACTCCTCTCTCTCTTGCCAGTCACCTGCAGGCCTGAGGGTCCTGTTTTCCACCTTCCATTCCCCCGCACGATCCCAACCTGCCACAGGTGTGTCTGGGTCCGTGCTGGGGATAAAAGAAGGCCTGGGAATGACAGGAGCTTCCCCCAGCTTGCTCAGGAAGCCCACCCTTCACACAGCAACAGGAAGGTCCCAGCAACCAAAGCCTTGAACAGCATGGCCCTGTCTCCACTCTTCACGAGTGATGCTGCCAGTGGGCTGCCAGGCGTGTCTGCCATCTCCAGGCAGACCTCCTTTGGCATAATAAGATCAAAGTGTCTGGCCCATGTGAGGCCTGGCACCAGGGGCCTAGGGAAGCACTCTAAGTAACGTTTCCTCCTCACTCTTCAGGGTGAATGAAGGGCTTCTTACATGTCCCTTCCTCATTACCTGACACTTGACTACTTGAGCTCCTGGCTTTATCCTCACAGGAGCCATTTGAGACAAGGTAATAGGTGCTCGGGTATTGTAGTAAATTAGATCCAGGAACTGAACGTGGTTGGCAGACTCTTCCTCAAGCTCACAGTGGCGAGTCCTCGGAAGCTCTCCTGCGCTGCCCCAGGAGGCCAGGAGAGGCCTCTGGTCAGAGGTGAGGCATCGGCCTCAGGAAATGGCTGTGATGCCAGATCCATGCGAGCCGCAGAGAAGGAGCCACGACTATTAGAGCATTAACTCCTCCTGTCTGCCTGAGGACAGAAGGCAGGCTCATCATCCCTGGTATCCAAGACTCCTCCTGGTGGGCAGATGGATGAGCAGGGGACTGACAGGTGGCAGTGTGAGCAATTTACCAAGCCCTGAGGGGAAGGGTACAGCTTGTAGCCCAGCCTGAAGCTCCCCTGGAGGCAGGAATGTGGGAAAGGTGGTGGCCAGGGCTGTTGCTGGGAGGTGTGGGATCCTGTGCCCACCCGGGAGCCTCATGCCATGGCTACAGTGTGGCTCATACCTGCCCTTCCCTCTAGCCTCGCTCTGGACCCCCAACAGCCAGTGCCGAAGGACCGGTGCCAGGCCTCCTCACCAAGAGCTACCTTCACCTTCCTCAAACCTGGTGATGAAGGGATCATGAACCCCATCCACTACACAGGAGAGGAAGCCCAGAGATGTTAAGGAGTCTGGCTAAATTCAGCCAGTGAGAAATTTCACCTACAGGGTGGGAAGGAGCCCAGACTACCATCTCTCATGACTGTTGCCCCAGAGATGTCCCATTTCTTCTGTGTGGTGGGTTAGAAGTCACTCATCTGTGCTCCCAGCCAGCAGCATCCCCACAGGTGGACTTTTCCAAGTGGAAGCTGACCTTCAGTTTTAGATGATGTCTCCAGGGCCCTGGCCTGCAAAGGTGTGCACCGGGGATATGCAGAGCTAGGCCTTGGCCCTGAGCCACAAACTCCCTGTGGTTGGGTCTCAGGGGAGCCCCCGTCCCAGTCTGAATATGAGTCAACTCATGACAAATCCATGTGACTAGCGTGAAAAGTAAGAGTCCTGCGGTGCTGAGGAAACAGGAAGTGTGGAGGCTGGGTGGGTTGGCCCTGGGGGGAGCCTGGCCACAGCTGGCACCACCTTGCCCCACCTCCCCTGAGTTAGAGAGCTGAGGGGGCCCCTTCCCTATGTCAACAAATCTTCTTAAGCCTGAGGTGGTTCCAGAGGGTCAGACTCAAGCCCCTCAGTCTGGGGGCTAGAGGAGGGGGACAGCAAGCTCCAGGCTTAGGGCTGGAGGCTTGTGAGCAGCTCCCCAGACAAGCCATAGGGCCTCAGAGAAACTGGGGGATCTCTGAAACCAGGAGGCAGGAAGAATTTTCCTGGGCAGGGGAAACGCCTCCTAGAACTGAGGGCCAAGAAAGACCGAGAGGCTCTCTAGTAGGAGACTGGACTGCTTGGGCAAAGTTGGGTGGGGGGGGGCAGGGCCCCTGGACACCAGGTGGCCTGAGTGGGGTCCTGTCCAGCGAAGCCTGTGGTTTTGATCACCTCCACTTTCCTCCGGTGGTTGGGCTGCCGCCACACAGCTAATTGGGGCTCTTCCCATATGTGCACCCCGGTCTCGTGCCTTCCTCTCTCAGGTCCCCCACATTCACCCACCCTCCTCGTTTTTCAGCACAACAAGGCCAGTCAGCCTTCCCACGGCGTTCCCCAACTCTCTCCTCTCTATGACCATTTCAGCAGCCCACACCCCACACCTGCTCCAGCCGACATCAGCCAGAAGCAAGGTATGGATCCTGGATGGGAAGGGCCCAACAAGACCCAGAGCCGGGGAGTGGGGAGATCAAGTCCCAGCCTTCTGAGACCAGGTGGCTAGACCCTTTTTGTAAGTGGAGAACCTGGGGCTGTGCAAACTCAGGGCCCCTCGAACATGCCCAACAGATTGAGGAGCCTGAGGGCACCAAAGGTTGGGGAAGGTGGTACCTGGTCAAAATCTGAAGGCTTCAGGTTGAGGTAGGAGCCTAAATCCTGCGTGACTACCCAATACCAGTATGGGAGTAGGCCTCTGTGTAAAACTGATAAATATAAAACTTGTAGTCTTTCCCTCCCCCAGTGAGAAAATGGAAAGTGGTGGTTGTGATGGCTGATTCACCTCAGCCTCAGGCAGAGTCATTCTGAAATCAGCCATTGTCGGCTGTGGGAAACCTGCTGACTCAACCCTGGGGAGGAGGGGGCACGGGGGGATGGGTAGAGCCCTGGCTCCCCAGGCCAGGGGGTCTGCCTCCTGCCCGGAAAGCCAGGCTAGAGCCCCCAGCGGAGAGGCCCCAGTTACAGACCAGCATTGGACCAGGGTGTGGCAAGGTCTGGCCTCCCACTCCTGAATGACTCCAACTCTGCCACTGTCCAGCCACTGTCCCGTAGGCAAGTCACCCAAACCCTCTGCCCTTGATTTCCCTAGCCTGTAAATGGGGCACTGTTATCACACTGGGATAGTCCTGAACAAACCAGTATGTCTGGTCCTCCCTCTAGCACACGGAGATGGGGTCCTAGGAGGGCCCCCACAGGAGGCTCCAGGATGCAGTAACTAGCTGAAGTGGCCTCCAGGTCAGGCTGGCTCACTTACTCGGCCCCTCTCCACTGCAGGAGTTCACAGGCCTCTGCAGACCCCTGACCTCTCTGGCTTCTACTCTCTGACCTCAGGCAGCATGGGACAGCTCCCGCACACTGTAAGCTGGTGAGTGAGGGCCCAGTGGGAAAGGGGCACCTTGCGCTGGTTGGACCCATACCTGCCCTTCCATTTTCCTCCTCCACCCTTCTGTGCTGAGCACCCAGATGCCAGCTCTGTACGGTACCAGGGGCTGGCCAGCAGCTCTATCCATGCCTCAGCTAGCCAGACATACTCCCTTTGGGAAGGCAGGAGACCTAGCCCCTGGTCCTAGCCCTATCACACTCTGTCGTAATGTCTAAGACTTGAACGGGACTGTTCAGGGCCACATGAGTATGTGAGGAAGAAAAAGTAGGCCTGACCAGGGATGCGGCAACATGCATGGCCACAAGAGAAGCTGTTGCTTCTCAGTGGCCTGGTGGACAGAGGGATGTTCCCACTTGCCTCAGTGTCTACTGCTGGCTGGTCCCTTCCTTGGCTGAGCTGCTTGAAGGGCAGGGTCCTTCTTGCCCTTATGGTGCCTGCTTCAGTCCAAGCCCCTGGCATTCTGCTTGGAGAGTCTACTAAGGCTGGGCCAGGGAAAGACAGCCTGGATCTCATTCGGCAGGCCCAACTGTGAGCCAAAGGGCCCGTCTTCAGCTGGAGCTGGGCCTTGGCAGAGTACGTGACCCTTTGTTCATCATGCGCAGTTTGACCTAGGCAGGTCTCTAGCCTCTCTGGGTTGGGGCAATTACCCAAAGGCAGGAAAGCTTGGCTTCCCAGGAAGGCAGAGCAGGCCAGAAGCCCAACCTGGGGCCCACCTGCCCCTTCCTACTTGCCCTTTATCCACGTTCAGCTCACTCTTCCATGTCCAGATTGTCTCTGGATAAAGCTCCACCTTGAACCCAAATCAGGACTACCCTTACGAGTCCCCGCAGGATTTAAGCGCACCGGGCAGGTTCTGGGAACCAGAGCAGCACTGCTGAAGCTGGTTGATCCTCCGGTCCCTGCCCTCTCAGAACTCAGTCCACCTAGTGCACAAGTCAGGCAAGAGGCCAATTACAGAGCGCTGTTGGCAGTGCTTTGAGGACTGTAGAAGCCTGAAGGGACACCTCATCCAGTTTGGGATCTCAAGGGCTTTCAGGAGAAAGGGTGTTTTGGCCAAGCAAGACCTTGACAGATGACCAGGAGTTTGAAGCAAAGTGGGACAGAAGAACAGTCCTAACAGTGTCAACAGTGAGTGCAAAGGCCTTAAGGCAGGTATGCAGGTATCAAGCCCGAATTTCAGGAGGTGAGGCTGGAGGGACCCCAGGGACCTACTAACCTAGGTCCCAGGAGAATGCTGCCATTTCTACCCCTTATACACGAGTAGAGGGAAGGTAAGCCTGTAGAGCAGGGGTTAGGAACCGGGCCGCACAGCAGGAGGTGAGCGGCAGGGCGAGCCCCAGTCCGTGGAAAAACTGTCTTCCACAAGACCGGTCCCTGGTGCCAGAAAGGTTGGGGACCGCTGCTGTAGAGGGAAAGGTTGCCCTCTGGTGGCACGTGTTTAAAATATACACTAGAGTGGTCCAAGCAGAAGCCAATTTGCCTTATTACACTAGGGGTCAGGCCCAAGCAAGGTGGGGAAGTCGTTCCCCACATTTGGCAAGTAGCCAGACTGCTAACAGCTATCTCTCCCAACCACAGGCCCAGCCCTCCTCTCTACCCCCTGTCCCCTTCCTGCGGATATAGACAGCACTTCCCCGCCCCCACCGCAGCCCCTGGCGCCCCCTACCCCAGGTGAGTCCCCTACCCTGCAGCTAGGCTCCTGCTTCCTGTTGCCCAGGCTTCAGTGCCCACAAGAGGCCACGCCCAGGCCAGTGCTTGCCCTGTGTCAATCGTCTGTCCATCCGTCCGTCTGTCATTCTCCAGCCCCACGCTGCCCTATACCTGAGAATGAAGCCAGTGGGAGTGCAGGAGGCCTAAGCCCAGGCCATACAGTGCAAAGCACGACAGAGCAGCCAGAGACAGTGCATGTACACGTGTGCAGGTGTGTGTGCACTCACCTCTGTTGTGCATCCTGCTGAGCAAAGGATGAGTCAGGACAGCAACCCCCGGGCTCTGCCCAAGCTGAGGCAGAACCTTTTACATGCATCTCCAACCTCTGGCCCTTAGGGGCCACCTGCTCAGTTATTCCATACCTGTGCAAGCAGTAAGGGACAGATTGGTATCCATAGAACATCAAGAAAGTAAAGTGGGAGCTATGTGTTTATGTGTGTCCTTTCACTTGGCTCACTCCCTCAGTGACAGGCTTGTGCGCAGGTATGGAACAAGGAATTCAACAGACATCTCTAGCCCACAGCCCAGGGTGGGAGGTATAGACACAGCAGCAGCAGTTGAATGGGCTAGCTGGGTGATGGGGAAGCCCCGAGGAGACCCCAGCCATGTCTGATGGGTCAGGGAAGGCTTCATGAAGAGGATAACATCTCTTGAGTGAGGGAAACAAAGGGAACATCAGTAACTGGAGATGGCTGGGGGTGGGAAGTGATGGGACAAGGGGGGGGGGGGGGGGGGGGCCAGAAATGTCAGCAGAGATGGCCATACAGGGCTGTGCAAGCCCTAGGGAGGAGCCTGGGTTTTATTCTGTGGGCAGTGGGGGAATTTCAACAGAAGTGGCCAAGAGCATTCAGGTGTTTTTAAAAGGTCACTCTGGCTGTTATATAGAGAGAGGCCTTGAGGGGTCAAGGAGGAAAGTAAGGGCAGCCACAGGCTGAGGCTGAGCTGGTGAGGGCAGGAGGTAAGAAGGGGACAGATTCAAAAGCTATTCAGGACTTCAGTAACCACCTGAATTTGACATACATGTAGATTTTTGCATCGTGTCTGTGCAGTGTGTTGGGAGCAGGTATTTTTGTATGTATTTCTGTGTACTTGTATGCAGGCCAGTGGAGGTGGGTATCTGTTCACCCTCTTGTACTGTGCAGGGGCCTCTCTGTGTCCAAAGATCTGGCCCGTACATACCTGGCTCAGTGTTAACTCTTCTTCTGCCTTTAGGTTCACCCATCCACCCCTGATGCTAGGTTCCGGTGTACCTGGTCACCCCGCAGCCATCCCCCACCCAGCCATTGTGCCCCCTTCAGGGAAGCAGGAGCTGCAGCCCTATGACCGCAGCCTGTGAGTGAAAAGACACTCAATGGGGACTGGGGGTGGGACAGGTAAGCAGACCTCAAGATACACATTCCTCCCCCCAGGCCCAAGCCTGCTGCCTGGAAGCTCCAGGGACTGCCAGGAGGCCTCTGGCCAAGCCGTCCTTTGGCAATTGCCACTGACCAGTTTTTCGATCCTCAGAAGCAGGAGGGGAGTGGGTGGATTTAGTTTGAGCCAAGAGGGGAGGGGCTCTCCTTACTTAGCTGCAAAATTCCTATAAGGAACAGTTACCTAGCTCTGCTCACCTACTTTGGGGCAGCTAAAAAAAAGATCCCATTTAAAAAACCCTAGTATCCAGGCACTTACACATACACTGGACACACTAGAGGAGAGTGGTAGCATCAGGACACCATGGGGGCCCCTGAGTGATCTGTTCATGTGTCCTTCAGGAAGACGCAGGCAGAATCCAAGGCAGAGAAGGAAGCCAAGAAGCCAACCATCAAGAAGCCTCTCAACGCCTTCATGCTGTACATGAAGGAGATGAGAGCAAAGGTCATTGCAGAATGCACACTCAAGGAGAGCGCTGCCATCAACCAGATCCTGGGCCGTAGGGTGAGGCCACGGGGCAGGTGGGCTGGTAGGGGTGGGCCCTGACTACCTTCACCCCGGTGCAGCCTGCTGACTCCCCGATGCACCTCCATCTGCTCCCCTTCCCCTCTGCAGTGGCACGCACTGTCCCGGGAAGAGCAAGCCAAGTATTATGAGCTGGCCCGCAAGGAGAGGCAGCTGCACATGCAGCTCTACCCAGGCTGGTCGGCGCGGGACAACTACGTGAGTGGCCAACACACAGTAGGGGAACCTTCAAGATGCCAGGCCACAGTCTCACCAGGGAAGTTGGGACTACTGTCCTGAAGGCACAGAGGAGGAGGGGAATAGAGGGTCCAAGGCCTCCCATGGCTAGCTCAGAAGAGGATCAGATGAGGGGAGCTGCCCCTAAAGGCAGGCTCATTTTCCCCAGGATGTACTTCCACACAGGGCTGTTGTCCAGCACTTGACTGGGCTACATTAGCACAAGCGGAGGAAGGGGCCCGGAAGTCACCTCCTGCATTCAAAAAGGAGACCAGTGTGGGGAAGGGAGGAGGCCCCAACTGCTCCGTGATAACCTAGAGCAAAAAGTGCAATCAAGAAACACCAGGGCCCCCAAGTCAGAGGGAACTGTGGACCTGGAATCCCAGCGGCAGCCAGACTAGGCAGCAGGCTGCAGGTGTCCCAACCACTCGCTCACTGGGGTTACAGTGTCCACCTCCCAGCATCCTCTGAGCATCCTCCACTTTGCTCCCTGCAGGGGAAGAAGAAGAGGCGGTCACGGGAAAAGCACCAAGAATCCAACACAGGTGAGGCCTTCCCTCAGCAGTAGTGGAGGCTCCTCTCGGGTCCCCAGCTCACGAGCGGCCCTGCTCTGGCCCAGGAGAGGGGCAGAGTACTGAGCCATGAACCTTTAGGGCCTGGGCCCTCTGGAAACGAGGCCTGCATCTCACAAGTCAACCCCCCACAGGAGGAACAGCTACACTAAGTCCCAGGGAAGACCTGCAGAAGCCAATTCTTAGAGCAGTGCTTTGTGACCTGCCACACACACACCCTTGCAAGCCCTGCTAGTGGCCAGCCTCTGCCAGAGAAGCTAGTGAGGAACTGTTTGATTCAAGACTAAACCCAAATACTGCATCCTGGTTAGCTCTGCGGAGGTGAGCAGCAGGCTGTCTGGGTGGAGGCTGAGCCAGGCCCCATGCTTGAGCCCAGCAGTCACACAGCCTATTGGCTGGTGCCTAGCAATTTCTCTATCGCCCCACCCCCAGTTCTCACGGAGGCGCAAAGTGCTCTGTATAGAGGACTCGGGAGGCCGCACCCTGCCTCAAGTCTTCCTCTGGGTGAATTCCTGTCCCAACTCTGATACTTCACACTCCGCATCCACGAGCGACTTTCTCAGCTGTGCTGCCCCACACAGGGAAGCTGGAAGCTAGGACTGGGGCACGGGAGAGTCCTCAGTCCTTTTTCTAAGGTTGAAGAATGGGCTTTACTTTCCTTCTGGAAAAGTATGTAGCATAGGCTTAAGCTACAGCCGCAGGGGATATGGGTCAGGCAGATTGCACACTGGCAAAGATGAAGAAAAACTGGATAAAATGGGCAGGGAGTTGGCAGGGGTGGGGGGGGCCCTAAGGCAGAAGAGGCTTGATCCCCACGGGCCCCCCACATTCTTCTCTGAGCTCCCTTGCTGCAAGGGGCCCCACAAGCCACAGAGAGGAGCCAGTCTGATAGGGTCCCCTCCCTCCCCACCCCCGCCGTTCTTCCCACTGCCTCTACACTGCCAGCTGGGTGCCACCCTTTCCTTGGCTTTGGGCCCTGGGGCTCCCACTAGGGCTGGCTGTGCCGTGGAGAAGCCCTTGCCTGTAGGGACTGTGGGGTATCTGTGACTGGCTAACACTGATGTTACCTCTTCTTTCTGGGCCCTGCTCTGCCCTGCTGCCTGCCTGCTCGCCCTCTGCCCTGCTCTGCCCCTCTGGCATGGCTGTGAGCAGACCCTGGCTCGCCTAAGAAATGCCGTGCTCGCTTTGGCCTCAAGCAGCAGACGGATTGGTGTGGTCCGTGCAGGTGGGTTTGTCCCCACCACTGTCCTCTCTTTGCTTCAAGCTGCTTCCCTTACTCTCTGCACATGTTCTGCTGGGCCTGCTGCCCTCCTTTGGCCCCTAGCCCCCAACATACCCGCAGACTGGGGAGCCCATGCCTCCTACGAATGGGAGTGAACACAACAGCTCGTGGGGAAGACCACTTGGGTCTAAGAGGAAGGAGGAGAAACAGACAATGCTCTAGGAGCAAAGGAAAGGCAGACTTAGAAGGTATTTCTGGTACCTGGTGCCCAGGGTTCCCTGGTAATGTTGGTCTGGTGCTTATCAGGCCTAGCAGGTCCTCAGCAGACAAATCACACACACAGCATCTAAATGGCCTGAGCCCCTGTTCCCAGGCCTCAAAGTCATCATGGTCCACCAGCTCCCTCACTTCTTCCAGTTGGGATCCCTGCTGTACCATACCGAGCCCTAAGAATAACGAAGTGACTGTAGTAGAGAAAAACCTGAATAACCTCAATGCCCAGTGGCCATGTGACTTATATCACGTACCTGCTGAGACCAGTGGGCTCAGAGAGGTAGGGAGATGAACAGAGGTACCCCTGGTAGCCATACTCAGACCCTGTGGCCTTAAACCTGTATGTTTCACCATACAACAGAGAAATATTTGTGTATGGGAAAAGAAAGTATACCTACCAAATGGTTAAAGTTGCCTAGTTGAGGTTCAGGCCAGGCCTGCTAGGGCCAAGGCTCAGGCTGCTCCAGGCAGTAAGTTCACTGACTCTAGGGAATACTTGTCCAGCCCCTATGAGTGCCCACCATACTCCCTGTCCAAGGGCAAAGAGGAATTTGGGGAAAATAAGTATGTGTGTGTATAAGTATGTGTGTGTATGTACACATGATGGGAGGCAACCCTGTTCTCAGAGGAGGCCCTATTCCATCCATTCCATACTACTCAGAAACAAAGTGTCCAGAGAATAAGATGGTAGACAAGTCACTGTCCAATTCTTTCCCTTCTCTGCCCCTAGCCTAGCTCTGAGCATTTGGATTGCTCAGCCCTAGAAGCCACAAGCCCATTGCAGCCCCCCCACCCCCCCGCCGCTTCCTTAATCAGATCTGAGCCCCACAAATGTGAAGCAGAGCCTCAACAGCCTAGACTAGGAGATAGCTGCCCTGGAAGATAGCAGGCAGCCCACAGGCCAAGCTACAAAAGGTCCCTGTGCCACCTTGTGGTTCTGCTGGGAGCTGCACCTGTCCCTAGGTCTGGGCCAGGCTCAGCAGTTGTAGCGCTAAGCATGAAGGCACAGACTTATCACCTAAGTCATGGGGAGCTAGGCCTATGCAAGGACAGCATTTTCTGGTTGTGGAGTATGACTATGAATTCACCCTCTGTTTACAGATAACTCTCTTCACTATTCCTAGGAGGAAAAAGAAATGCATTCGGTACTTACCCGGAGAAGGCCGCTGCCCCAGCCCCGTTCCTTCCGATGACAGTGCTCTAGGCTGCCCCGGGTCCCCAGCTCCCCAGGACTCACCCTCGTACCTCCTGCTGCCCCACTTCCCCACAGAACTGCTTGCTAGCCCTGCGGAACCGGCACCTACATCACCAGGTCTCTCGGCCACTCTCAGCCTCCCAGCCCCCTGGGCCCCCTCAGGCTCCTCACAGCAACCTGCAGAGTACACAGGTACAGCAACAGGAATCTCAGAGACAGGCAGCCTAGCATGCACAGGACACATGGCTTCCTCCAGGGGCCCACCCTCTGAGAGGAGACGACAGAGCCCCAAAGCACGTGGAAACCGGCCAGGGGCCCTGTTGGCTCCCTCTCAGAGTCCAGGCCCTGGAGATTTCAGAGGCTGCACATCTTCTGCCTGAACATGGGGCCATCAATTCAAACTGCTCCAAGTGGTGGGAATTAGATCTGCGTTGTGTCATTTGATTAAGGGCATCCCCTCATGCCTATGGCAGACTGGATCTATTCTTTTTACCATCTATCTTGCTAGCCAGATGCCCCTCCCTGCCTCCCTTGCTTTTCTGCTATAGGTCATAGATGGACTGGACTGAGCCCAACTGCTTTCCCTACTTCCCCCACCCAACCCCACCACTGCCACACCCTCCCCATACAAGATACTTCATGGACCAAGAACAAGCTGGTTTACCAAACAATATGTAAGCATGGTCACAACCACAAAGCTCAAGACAACAGTGTTTCTCTCTTAAGGGCCTGGAGAAGCCCTGTTTACAGAAAACCAGCTGCTATCTGTAAGCTGGACCAAAGGAAGCTTCTTGCCACGTTCTTTGGAGCTTACAAGAAGAGGAGTGAATGGAATAGGTTAAATTTAGGCCTATCACCCTAGCCAACAGGAATAACCTGACACCACCTTAAAGGCAAGTGTGGGTGGTGAGGGTATGTGGCTCTAGTTCAAATTACTCAGAAATGTTTCCTAAGGAACTCAACCACCTAAGAAGCCCTGATACCAAATGCCTCAGTCACTAGTGGCTGCAGTCAACGGTTCAAGTAAGTCATGGCTCAAGATCCAGTGTGCATCCCTACCTGCTCTTGAGAGCCTTTTTCACAGAGCCAGTTCCAGCCTATCCACATCATTCTAGCCAGCTCTCAGACAGTTGTAAGAGGGCAAGCCAAACCTCAGGACAACCAGTGCCTATCTTCCAGCGTGAAAGTAGGCCAGCTTCAGTTTCCCTATGGGGCTGCAGGAAGAAAGACTATTACAACCAAAGCAAGGAGCCCAGAAAACCTCTAGTGGTGGACATCAGGTTTGCACCACAGCCTACTTTAACCCATTTCTGAGCCAAGCTTCAACCCTGAGCCTTAAAAAACAAATCTTTAATTTAACTTAGTTGGGTTTTTTGCCTCCTCTTCACTGTACATAGCCTGAGTCCAAAGAGAAAGGGCTATACCCCTGTACCCACACACACCCTCAACAAAAGCCTTTAGTTCCTACTTTAGCCACTGGCTTCTCAGAATCCAAAGATCGTATGTTCTGGTGTAGTGTTGCAAGAAGTCTTGAGAGAAAAAAGGACCATTGTAGTATTCAAAATATTTTTGTATTGTTAATGCATATTACAGAAAAACTTTTCTGATATGAGAATAAAGATACTTTTTACTGGGTTTCTTTTTCAAAGCTTGACTCTGAGGAATAAGCTGTTTCAGTGACAGAGTATAACACTCTTTCCTTTTCTTTTCCACAGCCACAAAGTTTATTCTCTATTATGGTACACATGTTCTCAAGACCTTGAACCTACACAAGCCAGGGATTGACTTGTCATCTCTCCTTAAGGGACTTGGGCCCTGCTCCAACCCAGAGAGCGGGGCTCATGCTAGGTATAAGTTCCCATTGCAAGCCTTGATCTTAACCCCCCAGTCCTCTGAGCTCACCCCTGATGCAGGCACAGGCCAACCTACCCCACTGCTCATATGAGAATGGACTGGAAACTGCCGCCACAGCCCCTAAGAAAACCCAGCCAGAAATAGGCACGTATCATCACTGGGCTGCATTTTCCTCTGAAGGCAGAGAGAAAAGACAGAAGCACATAGCCTATTTTGAGGAAAACATGAACACACAGGGATCTTTTATAACCTGGTATCATCATAAAATCCAAAAGATGGGTATTTTAAGAGCACCCTTTCCTCCCAAAGACTGTAAGGTACATGAAGTATTTCTTGAGGTAGTCATATTCTTATACAAAACTGAAGACTGATAAATCTACAATCTTTTTCCACGGCAGTTTCCATCATGTTTAAGTATAAACTTCTTGAGACCCATCATGAATTTAAAAGGTGTCACAAAGCCACCTCAAAAGGTCAGTCAACCATTAGGTACAAATGGTGGGCAAGAAGTATTACAACAGCCAGCTGCTGGGTCACCATAATGTACTGTAATTTTCGCTTAACAGAGTTAGTTTTTTGGATTTTACGTTTAAAAATATAAAGAAAGTCATCTTCCAGAGTAGTGTCTATTTAAAGTAGGCCACTGAAAGTTGTAATCCTAGACTTGCTTTTTTCTGCAAGGGTGCTAGAGGAGACCAGCCATTCTCTTGACATCTGTCCCATTTAAAGAATTCCGCTCTGGCTACTGGCCTAGTTGTTTCAAAAAACATTTTAACCAAGGCTTATGCAAGACTGGGTTGCTGCATCTGATCTGGTGTCTTATTTACAGCACAGGGGGTACGTGAACAATGCACTCTTTGTGTATGTGAGGGTAAAGGGGGGCTTTGCCAACCTTGTTAAAATCAAACCAGCCTTTTAAAAGAAACTGACTTCAAAGAGGAAACTCAAATCTTCCTAGATCATACCAGCACATTCCTGTGAGGGCATGGGGTGACTTGAGAGTGTAGCCCCAAATTCAACTTCAAATACCACAGCAGTCCCACCTCATTTCCAGCCAAAAACATGCTGTTTTCTGAGACATAAGACAAGACATCCCAACCTCCCTTACACATTCCTAGACAACTGGCAGATTTGCTTGAAATACAGATCTTGATCCCTCCCCTGTTACAGCTGCTCTCCCTGCCCTCAAGTCAGAAGACATGGTGAGGGCTCAGCCCAACAAGCTAGCAGGGCCTTCCCAGGTCTCCCAATTTGAGGGTGTTTCCCCCTTTACAGGAAGCTCTGTGGCTAGACTCTCTTCTGAACTGTAACTACATTCTGGATGGCCCAGAAGCTCCTCAGCTCTATTCAGTGTACCATAAGCCTGGCTGGGAAGGCCACATGTGCAGTGAAGCAGAATGGTCCTTTACATTGTTCCAAAGAATAAGAAAGGAATCAGTTCCTGCATGCATTTCTACGGGGGAAAAAAAAAAAACAGCGTAGAAGGAGCAAGGGTAACACAGACTTGCCAGGCCTATAAGATTTGAGACCAAAAACTAATTCATTATATTAAAGCTGAGTTGGTTTTTCTGTGAGGTTAGAAAAGCTGCTTTAGCATGCCTGTTTCTCAGGTCTCTTGAGAGTTTAAGAGTCTACCAAGGGTCCTTGAAACAGAGCTGGCAACCAAAGCAGAACGTGGTTCCTAGGTTGTGTCAACTCCCCCAATCCCAACTACTGCGATCACCTTCTGTTTCAGATCTCAAATCACCATGGGCTTCTTTTTAACTCAGGCTCCCAAAGTCTGTACTGGTCTGCTTGTCCACACTGGGCAGTGGGGGTCTGAGAGGAGCTATAACTGAATGTACTCAGGGAGTACAGCAGGGAGTTTTACAACAGAGAATATAGATGGGGATATTCCCATAGTCAATTCCCTCGAATAAAAGCCCACCTTAGATCAAGAGACATTTTGAAGTTGTTAAGAACAGTATGGGACTGGACAAAGAGTTAACTGGAAAGGGCATAATTCTGTCCTAGGGTAGGGGTAGGAACTATCCTATCCCTAGCAGTCCCCATGAGTTAGGTCACTAGCAACCTAAAGTAAGGGATATTTCAGCAGCTACGAATTATAAGGGAGATAGTTACTAGTTCAGGCTGACACTTCTTTAAAGTTCACCCGGGGCTCTGGACCAGATGTTCCTTTTTTATTCAGGTGTTCTCACATTCCTTTATCTGAAGTCTTGTTCTTTCAGGCATGTGCAGTCAATGGCGGGGCGGGGGGGGGGAATGGAGGAGTAGAAATTAGGTTCTAGACACACACACACACACAGTGAAAACTCCTCTTGAATACATATATCTGAGTTTCTTCTGTTTCCCCACCCTTCCTATAAGCCTCCTACGACAGAAATATCTGCAAAGCATCTGAAGCAGGTAAAAGTTAGAGGATGTGAAATGGCACATTCAGCATCAAAGGAAAAATACCAATCTGCAACATATACAGGTGGAAGGTTCTGAAGGTGAGAGTACTTTTATGGAACAGGCTGATCCTCAGAGTGAAAGAAGAGGCCGGCATATAGCAGGTTAATAAGTTCAGCAAATGACTCCTGAACATGTCAAGTTCAGCAGTGTCAGAAGGTCATGAGAACTAGAGACATGGAAGCAGGTATTGTTGTGAGCAACTATATTCCTCCTACAAAATGCCTCTCAGTATTGGCACACAGACCAGATATAGCCAACAGTGCAAAATACTGCAAGGAATCAAGTATGTTATCCATAAGTTAAACTGTCACTCAAAAGAAGTCCCACACTGGAAATCGCTCAAACAAGAGCCCCTTCACCAGCACCGTTATGCCACCAACAATGCTGATATCCACTGACAACTCAACAGGAAGGGTAGCATTCAGCCTACCTGCTTAGGTGTTCAAATGGCTAAATCTTGGGCTAAGGGACATGTTATAAACTTACATCATTCTTCATCTTGTGTACACATACAGTTCTTACTCATTCTGTTTTTTGAAGGTAGTGACTTTTAACAATAGTAACCAAGAAAAAGGCATCAAGACTCTAGTTGTAAAGTCCTCAATATTCAGAATACTTTAATAATAATAAAAACATTCTGGTTCACTCAAGAACTGCACTGCCTAACATGAGTCTGATGAATACTCTTCCTATAATGTCACCAAAATTCTCTCACCAATCCAGCTTTAATATCTCTTTCCAGACTATATTCTCTAGCAGGCCTAATGACACCCAACTTCTGCTACTAGTTCCAGACTGAGCACACTGCTTTCTCCCTCACCTTGGCATCCCTCCACCCCAACCAAATCCAACTTGACCTTTGAAACCAAGTTCTTCATGGAACCTTTCCTAGACCCTTCCAGCTCTGCAGCCCCAATTTGCTCACTAATGTTCTGTCTCAGAACATTTTTATTATTCATTTCCTCCCAGCAGTATTTATCTCTGCCTCCTAAGCTACACCAAAATCTCCTAAGAAGGCAACCACGTCTCATACTTCCTACAAAGAAGCCAGGAGCTACACTTCAGAGATTTAACCATTTCATGTGCTTACCCTTTACTTGCAATCTTCTCCCTTATTCCCTCCTGGTTTTCATACAAATCCAAACAATTGAAGATTATCACCTTTTTAAAGCACAAGCAACTCATAGGAGAACATTTATTTGGTACCTTCCCCTTTCAATGTATACTGAGCTTTATAAAAATAATCAGAAACATCTTCAAATGGAACTGGTGGCAACCAAAAGTTAAGCTTTGAAAGATGAGATTCTGATGGATGTGGATAAGGTAAAGGCTGTGCTCAGATCAAAGGGTCTGCTGCTCTCTTTCCCTGGGGAAACCACTTTGTCTCCCTGTTCAAACTGCCGTATTAAGAGCCTGGGCAGGACTTCCCCGGTGGCACAGCAGATAAGAATCCGCCTGCCAATGCAGAGGAAACGGGTTCAATCCCTGGTCCGGGAAGATCCCACATGCCGTGGAGCAACTAAGCCCATGCACCACAACTACTGAGCCCGTGCTCTAGAGCCCGCGCGCCACAACTACTGAAGCCCGCGTGCCTAGAGCCCGTGCTCCGCAACAAGAGAAGCCACCACAAGGAGAAGCCCACGCACCACAACAAGGAGTAGCCCCCGCAAGCTGCAACCAGAGACAGCCCGCACAATGCAACAAAGACCCAACGCAGCCACAAAAAAAAAAAAAAAAAAGAAAAAAAAAATCACGTGGTTTGGAGTATCTGCCTGCCCTGAGTCATGTGCCTATAGTGACTCACTGCTACTCTCCTCCTTCTCCAGCTAGTTCCAGACTAAGCTCAGAATTACCATGACACCATGTTACAGAGCTGCGGTCCTAGCAGTCTACCAAATTACAATATAGATCTTGCTTGATCAATTCCAGCAGCTGATGTGTTCAAACAGTTGTAGAATAAGTCACAGCTATAATGCCACTTCAGGGATCTGTAACCTAAAGGGATGCCTGTGAATCTTTGGAAAAATATAAAAACTGTAAAGCAATACCTACTTTGTATATTAAAAGTAGATTTATGAAGGTGAGCTAATAAAATATAACAGCACCTCAAAAGAGGTTAAGAATTATTAGAAACTGTTTGAGAGCACACATCCTTAATCCGTGACAATGTTAGGGAGAAAGTAATAAGCTAACATTCAGAAGGCGGCTGGTTTACTTTCGATCACAAGTGACCCAGAGAATCAATGAAAAGCTGAGAAGCCAAAGGACTGTCACAGAGGAGTCTTCACCACCAAGAGCACCACACTGCAGGTAGCTACGATTTCCCACTTACCCAAGACGAGGTAGGCACTAAGAGGCAGAGGCAGGACTCCAGCCTCAGTCTGACTTCATGCTACAGCATTAGCTCAGAATAACTGGGAAATGAGAGGGCAGACAGGATAGAGTGTGTCTTTGAAGACAGGTTTGCTATTATGGATAATGGGAAAGGGCCACTCACTTTCCTTGGACAAGGTGAGAATCTGGAAAACTCTTGGTAGACATATTAAAGAAATAGAATATAACAGGGAAGAGGGAAAAGGGTAGGAAAGTGTTACAGCCAGTTTGAAGGGCCTCTTAATATGCCTATGATTTATTTGGGTATATAATGTCCACAAATTGCCTATTTTCTCTTGGATGAGCTGTCAGATTTCTATTAAACATGAGAGTTTCAGATTATCAGGATTTTTTGTTTGTTTAAAGACAAGGGCCAAGGTCTACAGAAAGTCAAGAAGAGAACAAAATTTTAAACTACTATATTGTCTGTCCACTCACTCTTACACATTCAGAAAGATCCCAGTATCCTTTAAATACGGGTAGTGATGATATTTAGTCCTGTAATTGTAACAATTCTTGGGGGTTACACATCAACAGCTAATAATAATAGGCTCCTGCTTCCTATAAGCTGATACTTCCTTTCCAAACTAAATAGAGCATATGCTAACAATCCTGAACTTTTAGGAAAGATTTGTTTGTTATGATATTGCTAGGGATATACTTGAGGTAGTTAAACTTTTGGCAAGAGTTGACCATTGGGAAATAGCAGAAAAGAGACACTCCAGCTAGGAGTGAATGCTGCTACCTTCCCCACTAAAACCAGAACAAATGGAAAAACAAGCTTACTTCCTGAGTAAAGGGAATCAGGGATTCAGAAGTAGTCGAAGGGTTTGCAATCTTTTTCTGTGAAGAGCCAGAGTAAATATTTTAGGCTTTTTGGTCAAATACACTCTTTGTGTGTCTATTTTTTAACAATCCTTTAAAAATGTAAAAACCATTTTTAACTCACAGACTGCAAAAACAGGTTGTAGGCTAGATTTCACCCACACACAGGCTGTAGTTTGCTATCTCTGGTACAGACAACAAATGGGGATTTATGTGAGACAGCACATGAAACTTTATTATAAAGGTAGATTTGGGACAAATAAGAGTTGAAGTAAAAGCAAACTACTGTCAAGTAATAATCTGAGCCAGAAGAGCTCACAGTAAACATGAAGAGAACACATTAAGACTACATGTGAATATAGTTAATTCTAACTGGGAAAGTAAGTAAAAAGGGAACACAAGGAGGAAAGAAAAAAAATTAGAAGACAATTAGAACAGAGTCTACCAGAACCTTATTGTTATGTCGCAGCCTCCAGTGAGCTAGGACATGAACTGCCTGCAAGTCTTTTCCAACTGAACAACCATACGTAAACTTAACTTTTAATATTAAGTGAAGAGAAACATTTAAATACACAAAAAGCAAACCATTTACTACCTACCACGTAACTTACTTTTTATTGAAAGTATCTTGCATTCGTGACTGATGCTTTCTGGGTAACGCCATACATTTTAACATTAAAGGTTAAATTATTTTTTACATGCAAGTAGTGTTTATGGTTTTCCCCACATAGGATTACTGATTATAAAAAGATGACACACCACATGGGTTAAGTGTCTCTTTTAATAGAAAAGCCAGCAAACTGTCTAATTCTTTTCCTCCCAAACCACAAACTGAATGGTAAATGAGCCTCTAGCCAACATATTCAAAGCTGAGAGGATTAAAAATGCAAAAATAAGTCCTCAGATCCAATTAAGGGAGCCCTGCTACATACAGGTTAATCAATACCAGTGGACTCCAGGAAGCTGGAAGACATTCTGATAACCCCACTCTGATAACATTTACCTCAATTAGCCTTTTTCCAGTTTCCAACTCATGAATAAAAGATAATACGTTGTTAATTCTATTTCAGAAAATTTTTTGCAAGTTGTTTTATTTACAATGCCAACTTTTAAAAGTCACTAAACTAAAGTTAACTGGACAATAAACTAGGCATAAATTGCTTTACAAAAAGAGGGAAAGCCCAAAATGCCACTTTCTATAGAGAACCCACAGTTTAATTTTATTCAGAGCAAAGAATAAAGAACTTTTGATCATACTAGAAGAAACTGAGCCATAAGTTTGGAATCTGTACTGAAACTACACATGCAATGAGGACAACATTCTGCTAATACAACTGATTTGCTGCTGCATTTGTGGACTGTTTTTCTAATATTAACAATTATAAACAAAGCAGTGCAACTAGTATTTGGAACAATCCTTACAGTGTTACAGCATCAGACACAAAATTTCACTTCTCCTCACACCACTGGTTCTCTTTGCGTACCTAGAAGAAGAGACAGATATAAGGAAGTACCTTAAGCAGTCTTTTCTAAGACTACTATCTAATGATTCATCAATAGCCTGTGAGGTAGGTCAGAAGGAAATAGATGGAAAACCGGAAAAACCCAGTTAACAGTACGCTTCCAGGTTACCATTCTTTCCCTCCCCAGTTTTTTTTATTGTGCCCTGCTGAAATTATCAAGAAAAGCAAAGACAATGGGCAATTACAGCTTTAGTCACCAGAGATGACCTGCATCAACAAAATCATTCTGATCTATTAATTTCTTCCCCATTCACTAAGTTGCTCTGAAGTATCCTGGCACATAATCCATAGGGCCTGCTCTTCTGAAGTCAAATATTGATGGCTTACATGTAAGGTCCCAGGTGCCAAAACTAGTAACTGCTAAGGAACAAATATCAAACAGCACCTTTGGATGAAAACTAATTGTTCTTATGCTTATAAAAGAACAGTATCATCTAAGTGCTTAGACTAAGAGACAGACCAGAATATTTTTAGCATACAGAAGGTACCTATTTTCCCTCAAGTCAAGACTCCTTGATATAAATACCTCTCTTCCTAGCATGCTATGGGTTTCAGTCTCTCTTGAAAAGCATTTGATCAAGAACAAGCTGTTAGCCACCTACCTGGGCTTCCTCTTCTTCAGTAAAATCATTTTTGATATTGAATGTCTTTCGAATCTCCTCAGGAGTTTTCCCCTTGATCATATTGGCAACAGTCTTGCAGGTAACATCAAGCAGACCTTTGATGTCTAAGTAGTTTGCTGCCTGTAAAGTAATTGTTGTTTTCATTAAAGTATACTTGATGCTTTAAATTAAATCCAGAATCAGTGACTAACAATCCATATCTAACTTAGCTTAAAATACTAATTTTAAGAAATTAAATGAATAAATAAATCAGACAAATTCGTCTGTGAAAGATTATTGTATGTCCAATTCTTTGTTATACCTCTGTAATATTGAGTCCTTGCGCTACATTCAGCAAACTACACTACCTCAAATGTCGAAGAATGGCCACTACTGGCAGTTGTGTACGCGTGCACACACACAAACACAAGTTTGTGTTTGACAAAAATATTTAAAGAATTCAGTGATTTTCCTGGTGGTCCAGTGGTTAGGACTCTACGATCTCACTGCCAAGGGCCCAGGTTCAATCCCTGGTCGGGGAACTAAGATCCCATAACGAGTTATAGCATTACATTTTACTGACCTTCTGATTCAACTTTTGGTTTCTTTGATTTTCTCTATTGTTTTCCTGTTTTCTATTTTACTGATTTCTGCTCTTACCTTTACTACTCCCTTTCTTTGGGATGAAATTCATCTTTCATTAGTTTCTTAAAGTAAAAGCTTAGACTGCTGGGCTTCCCTGGTGGCACAGTGGTTAGGAGTCCGCCTGCCAATGCAGGGGACGCGGGTTTGTGCCCCGGTCCGGGAGGATCCCACATGCCGTGGAGCGGCTGGGCCCGTGGGCCGGGGCCGCTGGGCCCGCGCGTGCTCCGTGGCGGGAGAGGCCGCAACAGTGAGAGGCCCGCATGCCGCAAAAAAAAAGAAAAAAAAGCTTAGACTGCTGATTTGAAACTTTTTTTTTTAAATATATTTATTTATTTATTTTATTTTTGGCTGCATTGGGTCTTTGCTGCTACACGTGGGCTTTCTCTAGTTGCGGCAAGTGGGAGCTACTCTTCGTTGCAGTGCATGGGCTTCTCATTGTGGTGGCTTCTCTTGTTACCGAGCACAGGCTCTAGGCACGTGGGCTTCAGTAGCTGTGGCACGAGTGCTCAGTAGTTGTGGCTCACGGGCTGCAGAGCACAGGCTCAGTAGTTGTGGTGCATGGGCTTAGTTGCTCTGCGGCATGTGGGATCTTCCCGGACCAGGGATCAAACCCATGTTCCCTGCATTGGCAGGCGGATTCTTAACCACTGTGCCACCAGGGAAGCCCCTTTCTTTTCTAATATAGGTGTTTAGGGCTATCAATTTCCCTCTAAATGTTACTTTAGCTTAATATCACAGATTTTCGTATGTTGTATTTCATTTCCATTCAGTTTAAAATACTAACTTTTCTTGTGATTTCTTCATTGACTCATTCTTCAGTAATCATTCTTGATTACTAAGAAATGTGTTACTTAGTTCTCAAATATTTGCAGATTTTCCAGATAGCTTTCTGTTACTGATTTCTCATTTCATTCCACTGTGATTAGAAAACATATTTTGTGTGACTTGAATCCTTTCAAATGAGACTTTTTTGTTTGTTTTGTTTTGCTTTGGCCGTGCCACGCAGCATGTGGGATCTTAGTTCCCCAACCAGCTATTGAACCCACACCCCCTGCAATGGAAGCACAGGAATCTTAACCACTGGACCACCAGGGAAGTTCCCCTGTGACTTGTTTTAAGGCCCACAACATGTCTATCTTGGAAATATACACTTGAAAAGAATATGAATTCTGCTGTCATTAGTCTTCTACATCCTTATGATTCTCTGTCTACTTGTTTTATCAATTATTTAGAGACAGGTTTTGAAATCTCTAACTATGATTGTGGATTTGCCTACTTAACCTTTAGAGTTCTATTGGTTTTTGCTTCACTTTCTGGAAGTTCTGCTTTTAGGTAGAAAAACATTTAGGATTCTTATGTCCTCGTAATAATGAACAGACCACTTTATCATTATGCAATGACCCTCTTTAATCCTGATAATATTCTTCGCTCTGAAATGTACTTTAATATAGTCACTCCAGTTTTCTTTTGGTTATTATTGTTAGCATAATATTATCTTATTCCACCCTTTAAACCTAATTGTGTCTTTATATTTAAAGTGAGTTTTTTGTAGACAGAATAGCTAACTCTTTTATATCCAATGTGATGACCTCTAACCTTTAATTGTGGTGTTTATAGACTGTTTACATTTAACGTGGTTATTGATACATGGATTTAAATATAGCATTTCAGAGTTTAGAGTTAAAATTCAGTATCAATGAATTTAACAAATTTAACTCTATGAAGAGTGCTAAAGGTATGGACTAGAAATATACTATGCATTAAAAACATACCAGTATAAGCTCAAAAAGTGTTCCTTGGTCAACTTTCAGGAATTCTTGATCCCAAACAGGGATATCATCTGTTCGCTTTTCTTTGTTCTCATCATCCTCAGGAGGAGGAGGATCATCCTTGTGGTGGGTGCACCACTGAATGACCTACAACAACAAAAGTTCATTCCTATATGGCATTTTATAACAAGGTACTTCGTTCCACTGCTGGGGCAAGGTTATTCCTACACGGGGCTAAGAACTAACTGTAAGTCAACTTGAATAGTAAAGTTAGTAGCCCAGCTTGAAAAGCACAACCCTAGAGTTCACTGAAGATCTTAGAAAACAGCGAACCATGAAGACAGATTACTATACTTGACCATACTAAAAAGCTCCTGTGCAAAAAAACACATTAAGTCAGACAGGACAATGACTGGGAAATACCTGCAACATGTACATGCCAGCAATGGATTACCTTATAAAATATAAAATCTTAACAATCTCTACACAGAAATGGGCTAAAGATATGAACAGGCAATTTACAAAATATATCTGAATATGAATAGTCTAAAAGGAGGAAATACTCAGCCTCATTAAATGCAAAATTAACACTACAGATACTACTTTAGACTGTACCCCCAAAAGATAAATAAAAATCAAGATGTCGATACTAATCATTGGCAACAGTGTGAGGATAACATGAACGTTTCTACTATAGAGTGTAAACTGGTATAATCCCTTTGAAAAGTAACCTAGGAGTACCTAGGGAAGCTGAATATGTGCATACACTATCACCAAGCAATTCTAAACACCCTAGACACATGCACAACACTACCCAGTATAAGAACAATGCAGGAAAAGCCCAAAGTTCCCTTAGTAATGGAATGAACACATTAAAGTTTCCAGAAGCTGATTAGCTAGACCGTGCACCATCATATAGACCACAATCTACACTGAAAGTGTTAAGTTACAGAATCTAGGTGGTAGGAAAATGGGTGTTTGCTGTATAATTTAACTTTTCTGTATGATTAACTTTTTTTTTTAATATTATAATGTTGGGGGAATAAACAATGCTGAGAGAAAATGGGAGAACTGAGAAATTATACAATAAGGATACAAAAAAGGGAAAGAACTACTTCTAGAAGAAAAAGCCAAGCATAAAGGGCTTTAATTAAATAGCTTTTTAAGAAGTATTCCAGGGCTGCCCTGGTGGTGCAGCGGTTGAGAGTTCGCCTGCCGATGCAGGGGACACGGGTTCGTGCCCCGGTCCGGGAAGATCCCACATGTCGCGGAGTGGATAGGCCCGTGAGCCATGGTCACTAGGCCTGCACGTCTGGAGCCTGTGCTCCGCAACCGGAGAAGCCACATCAGTGAGAGGCCCGCGTACCGCAAAAAAAAAAAAAAAAAAAAAAAAA